TTGCCGTGGAGGCGGGGCTCCCTGAGCCTAGCTCCTCCTCCGCTTCCTGGCTTGCATTCTCTTGCTCTTATTCCATGTGAATCAAGACCAAGAGTCATGTCTTGAGGTGCTGCTCCTAGCTGTTAGAGCCCCCAGGCACCACACCCCACCCTACGAAGAACATACATGTTAGGGTGGAAACTTAAATGCCTTTTGATGGAGCCGTCCCAGGAGACCCCGATCCCAGCCCCCGACCCCAGCCCCCAACCTGAGAGAGTCAGTCCATGGGGGTTTGTCTCATTAGCCTTTGCTTCTGCGGCCCCCATGCTGCTGCTGCTGCTGCTGCTGCTGCTGCTGGGCCAAACACAGCCCAGTGTCTGTCCATGCGCCGTCTCCTCTGCGCCCGTGATCTCCCCTCTTGTGTGTACTTCTCCCGACCTGCCTGCTGTTGCGATGTGTGGGTCTTTGAGATGAGAGGTGAAGGAACCCTGGTGGCTCTGGGGTAAGCACTGGCAGGCGGGAGAAAGATGAGGCTGTCTGCTCCTGAGAAGACTGACCGCCTCGGACACCCACAGAGGCTGTCTCAGTACCTTGCCCTGCAGACCCGCCATGGTGGGGGGGGGGGCACGCCCCGGTGAGTGAGTGGGTTTCTGCTTCCGTGGGGGCTTGTGTGCTCCCACTGTCCTTAGAGCGGCGGGGCCCCTGCAGAGTTGGAAGGGGTCTGGGAGCTGCTTGGCCAGGGGACCGCTGCTGCTGGTGGGGCCTGGGCCTCAGCCTGGGAGGGTGCGTGTCCCCGCCGTGGGCTCTGCACTGGGCCTTCGTGGAGGATGCTGGGGCGGCCTCCCTCCACGCGCTCCTCTCTTGCAGGTGAATCTGAAGATGCGTGAGATCACCGAGAAGGAAGTGAGGCTCAAGCAGCAGCTGTTGGAGAGCCCAGCTCACCAGAAGGTACTGGGCCCCTTGTTGGACGCTCGCCGAGTGGCCACTGCTCCCGCTGCTTCTGCCCTGTGCCCCAGGGCCGGCCTCCTGCCCGCCCGCCCCCCCAACACTGGCTGGGGACCTCCAGTGAGGGACAGGGGTCTCCTGGCCACGCCACCCTTTCCTGGATAAGGGGCTGGCCCGAGGGAGGCCGGGGGGCGGCCTGCACAGGAGGAGAAGTGGCTGGCAGCGGGTCCCAGGGTTGGCGGAGGGGCATGCTGCTCTCTGCCTCCAGGTGTGATCCTTAGCAGCCCCCCCCCCCCCCCCCCCCCCCTCCAGTGGCTCTGAGGCGTCCCTGTAGCGCCCCACCCACCTGTGCGCCCTCTGTGGTCCCAGCCTGTCCTGCAGAGCCAGTGAGGCAGAGGCCTCTGTGTCGCTCTGTCTGGCCCTCGGGTCCTTGGGTGCTGTCCTCTGCTGACCTCTCCTCCTTCCTCCTCCCACCTCCGCACAGTCTCCCTCCAAGTGGTACTGGAAGCTGGTGCCTGTAAGTGGACGACTGGCCAGCCGCCACCAGTGCATCGCGTCCACTCATCATGCGCTCCCCTCCCCTGCGCACGCGCGCGGTCTGTGTCCCTGCTTGTCCTCCTCTGCACACAGGGGTCTCTGCCGGCCGACTGGGCCGGGTCTCTACTGGGCTGTCCCCGACCATGGTCAGCAGGACTGGCTCTTTCCCGATAGATGCCAGAAGGCCTGATGGATACTTGAGGGTCCTGACGCCGAGTGTGGCAGGGCCGAGGGTCATAGACGGGGCTGGCTGCTGACCGTGAGGGCCTACTGTGCCTTTGCCCCCCCCTGCTGACCCCCGCTGGCTCTCGGGGCCCCTTCCCACCAGACCACCAGAAAAAGGTGGAGTGAGGTCACCATGGCTACCGGGAGGCTAGGTGTGTTAAGCAGGTTCCTGCTCGGCCTACGGAGAACGGTAGACAGGAGAGGGATGGCGCCACAGCCCAGAGGGAAGCCCTGCACACCCTCCTGCACGGCCCCCAGAATAGGCTGGCCCCCTCCCTCCATGATCAGAACAGCACCTTTTACTTCATTTTTTATTGTTTTAAGTTGACTCTTTATTCTAAGATATTCTTTAATGTTTAAGTGCTTGTATAGTTTAACATGGACACAAGATTTTAAAAGTCAGAAATCCCGTCCCAGCAACGTGAGGGTAAAGGTAGGCAGAAGGTGGGCGCACTGTTGACAAGCACTCCCGCGTCTCCCTTGTTGCCTGGGGGAGGGCTGTCTGGGTGCTGCTAGCCTGCTGTGCACCTGTGGGGGAGGGCTCATGTTTAGACTACCAGGTCTCCGCTCAGCCCGGCCACAGGACTGCCCTCAGGGGTTGACCCCTTCGAGAGCATGCTGTTGGGTCCATCTGGTGCATAGTGGCTCCACGGGACAGAGGGGTCAGCCTAGTAACCAGTGGACGTCCGAGTCCGGCATGGCTGGGCACGCAGGGCTCCTCCCAGCAGCTGTGAGGTTGGCTTCTCGTGGAAACACGTGGATGGAAAGGAAGCAGTCAGGTGTCCTGTGACTTCCTGGCCCTAAAAGCCAGAGAGGGCTTCTGTACCGTGGTCAAGACCCAGCTGGCCTCCAACGGAGGGAGGGTCCCGAGCAGGAGGGCATGGCTAGAGGCCTCTTGCTTAGGGAGCTTCCCACCAGTGCTGTCCAGGCAGATGGGCAGGGGGAGAGCGCCCAGGTCCATCCGGCTGCTGGACCCTTGACGTCCAGAGCCCTCATCCTTGCTCACGGAGAGCGCGCCCATCTGCTTCCTGCATGCTCAAGTGCTGCCTGCTGTCTGTCTGTGGCCTGGCCTGGTGCGTGCACGCCGTCCTGCATGCCGTGCCACCGCTGCGCCACGCTGTGTGCACGTGGGGCGGGGCGCCGGGAGCAAGCGGAGGCTGAGCCCCGGCACGTTCCCAAAGCTACAAGGGCCTCGGTGCAGTATGCTCAGAAGCCCCGGGCTTGGAGTCTGAGCCTGTAGGAGGCTCTCGTGTGGGGTCATTCCGGGCTCCCTCCTTCCCTGGTGCTGCCTCGCTCAGGCTGCCGTGTCCGGCTGAGTCTGGGCCAGTGGGGAAGCAGCAGCCCCTCGCTGTGCCCTCAGCCTCCTCCGTCCCTTGCTTCTCGGCGCTGGCCTCTCTCATGTGTCCGCCCCTGTGACCCTGTGTGACTGCCGTATGGTGCCGCCCCTCGCCGTGGCATATGGGTTCCAGGTCTGGGGGTGTGGAGCTTGCCGAGGCGATGGCTGGCTGGTGACCATGTGGATGTCGGCAGGCCGTGTGCCTGAGGCAGATGTGGGCTGCCGCGGCAGGCAGGAAAGCCACCTCTCCTCCCTCGCTGCAGGTCCGCTATCGGCGAGAGCACCCGTCTAGTCGGCACTTACCCCACTTCCCGCTGCTGGAGGATCTGATGAAGGACGGCAGTGATGGTGCGGCCCTCCTCACGGTGGTCCACTACTACTGCCCCGAGCACATGAGGCTGGACGGTGAGTCCTCACGGTGGTCCACTACTACACTACTGCCCCGAGCACGTGAGGCTGGATGTGAGTGGGGAGCCCGGCCCTGTCCTAGCGGTGACCCACTGTCACTGCCCTGAGCAGATGGGGCTGGATGAGGAGTGGAGGGCTAGCCTGCTATTGACATAAGTAGCCCCTAAGCCCCCAGGCCAGTCTACAGGGAGGCCTCTTGAGTATGTAGGGTAGATGGGGTGCTCCGCTGCTGCCTCAGTGGTGGTCAAACCCACCAGCAGCCCCATAGGAGAGGGGCCTGACCATCAGCCCCGTAAAATGACCCCGGCAAATCCCTTGTCTGTCCCTCTGGTCACAGGTGCCTTCTTTAAGGTGCATCTTAGCAGACTGGGACAGTGCACCCTGCGAGCCTTTGGGCCACGTGCTCAGGGGTTTCTGACTTCCCACATGCCCCAGGGCAGGGCGGGTTTGGCTCTGAGTCCCAGCACACCGAGTCGGAAACCTGTGAGCGAAGTTTGCAGGCGGGAGATGAATGCAGAACCCACCTTCTCCACAGACACCTCCACGCGTGGCGCTGGCGGTGCCGGCCAGGGCACACCGTGAACAGGCAGCCGTGTGTACCCTGTGGCTTGTCCATGGTCTGCGGGGAAGCATGGCTGTCTTCGAGGGAAATATAGGTGTTGGGGGGCGGGGGGCGCTGTGGTCCTTATGCTTGGCCACTGCTCCACAGAAGGGCCAGAAGAGGAGGGCCCAGTACCTGGGCCGAAGGTCGGGGTGATCCCTGACTAGGGTGAGCCCCTAGGGCTCAGCGTGGGCCGAGTTCACATTCCTCAGAAGTAGGACTTCCAAGTGCGTGCAGACTGATGCATGAGGCATGTCAGCAGGCAGCCCAGGGGCCCAGGCTGTGAGGACTCAGGCCACAGGGAGGCCTGTGCCTGAGCACGTGGACAGAGGGGTGATGTTCTTCTCCCCGCCTTAGGGCCAGGGACTGTTCTCTCTGGCCAGCCAGCTGAGGCCTCTGGGATTTCGGGCTACCTGATTCAAAGGGCAAACATGGGAGGTTGTTTGCTAGCTGTTGGGAGGGCCGTGGCTGGTGTTTGTCCAGTGAGGGTGACCCATGTGGGGAGAGCTGTGGGGTGTGTTCTGGAGAAGTGGCTGGGCCGTGTACACCCAGAGAGCAGCACAGGGGTACTGGAGAGCGGGCAAGGGGGAGACAGGAAGCTAAGGCCTTTTCTCTTTCCTCCTCTCCCAGTCCACTGAGGTGGGCACCTTCCATGGTGCCTGTGGGCACGGCGAGCAGTCAGCTGCCCAAGAGCAGCCCTCACATCCCCTTGGAAGACCCACAGAGCACGCGGCGAGGGCAGGGCGTGTGCCTGCTGAGCTCAGTCGGAGTAGTGCCGTCCCATGGGGCCAGAGCCAGGCCACCGGGGACCCAAGCCGCACAGGGACATCATCTGAGTGTGTGGTGGCGAGTCCTCCGCCCCAGGGCTCCCCACGAAGGCCAGGACGGGCCCCGCCCCGAGCCCATAGTGCCCTGAGACACTGCTCAGTGGACACCAGGCCTCAGCGTTCCCTCACAGGCCGGCACCCTGGTAGGCCAGCCCAGGTGCCGAGGGGTAGAGGTGGAACACGACGCTGTTGTAATCTGGATGAGAGAAAAGATCAGTCCCCAGATGGCTCTAGAAATCACCATATTTTCACAGACGCCAACAAGAAAATGTAGGAAAAGCGTGTGGAAGAGGAGTGAGGGCCCGAAATAGCAAAACCCACTTGGTGGTGTTTCCAGCTTCCCTGGGATGCACGGTCCTGGGGTCCGGCCCCCAGCCGCTCCTATGGCCTGGCTGCATGGCCCCTGCGCTCCTTGGGCTCCCGAAAACAGACATGTCAGACCTGACGGCCCATCAGGAGTGGTGGCTGTGAGGCAGCACCCCCCCGGGTGTGGTCTGGTCTGAGTGCTGCCCCTCGTCCGGTGTCGGCTGTCCCTGACCTGTCCTCCTCGGCCTGAGGCCTTGCTGTGGGAGTTCTGGCTTGTCTTCGTCCCTCTGGAGTAGCACCTTGGTCTGGTGGTGTTGGGGTGCGGACAGTAGTCAGTCCCCCACTCCACTGGTGCACCCTGTCGGTCCTGGGGTTGGCATCAGCGGCCCCTGCTCTGTGGCTGCATTTGCTTCCCACTAGCTGTTCTTCGGGGTGAGCCTGTGGACATTCCCATGGGAATGAGGTGTAGGGCTGGGGTAACCACAAGGTCAGTGATCCAAACCACTAGGTGCCCTCTGGGGGCAGAGAGAGGAGGCAGGCTGCTTCTGTAAAGATGGTCGGGCTGTGC